GTGAGAGCTTATGGCGAACTGTCATCAGAATTGATTACCTCAAGTGGTGTTCGTCAGGGCTGTCCACTCTCCCCATTCTTGTTCAACTTTGTGGTCGACTTACTTTTAGAAATAACACTCTCCTCATCTAAATTTCCAAATTAATTTCACTGTATTATACTCCTTGAATAACATTTTCAAACCCTAATCTTTCCAATTACTGCTTATACTCTTACCACATCTACCACTACGAAATTTGAGTCAATAACTGCATCTGTGTGCTAATGTGGTGTGGGAACTCGAACTGATGTACGTACGTACGAAGTTCTACGTTGTTACTGACTGACTGACTCCTATTAATTGTATTCAAGTTGGAGTTGCGAAATATTAGAATAGTACAAAAACGTATTAGGTTGACTGAAAGTCTCTTTAAAAAAGCCATTTCAGAACAAAACCCTACCACTCACAAATTAATCAGACAACGCCCTGGTTTTTGTCATATAGATTGAATGCAGAAAATTCGCCCGAATTCTTAGTTTGTTATTTGATGGCATTGGATATAATTGGGAAACATAAGCTAGCTACTTCATCACAGCAGCTACCTTGAAATGATGGTCGAACACGTCTATCGCGACGACCTAATTGAGGTATGTTGACTAAAACACCTATTTCTTAGGTCTTACTAGACCAACCAAATCGGTCGAAAGATGGTAAGACTAAAGTCCTATAAAAGCTGACTACGTTTTTGACTGGTACTATGTCGTTTACCAAGGTAAGGGACAAAATTTAGTTAATAGACATCTGACCTTTTTCAGTGGTAAAGTTCCTAAAAGGCATCTCGAGGTTCCAGAGATATAGAAGGAGCATGGCTGAAATGCCACATACATGGTTACTAGCAACATGCCAAAGCAGATTGTGTATTTTGGTGCTTTACGTAAAGCCATCAATTAAAACGACAGCATTTCGAGTCAACTAATCACCTTGTACGGAATCATTACCAGATGGGCTCTACGCTACCAAGTGTCATATAAGAACAAAACCAGCATATAACACACTGAGCATGAAACAGACATTTCTGTAGCTAACTCAACTAGAAACAGCAAAGAATTCAGTTCATGCATCCAAAGATAAAAGATAATTGGGATGAGCATTAGGAAACACATTTTCAGTCAGATCCAAAGTGATGGCAGAAAAGAAAGAATAAGAGTGATTCCATGGGTATAGCTCAAAGTAAATAAGTGGTATTGGGTGTCTAATGTCATTGAAACCAATTACATGAGGCGACCACATACATCTTTGGACAGCGATAAACATACAGTAGCCAAAATAATAGTTTACTAGATGTCACTTTCAGTACGCATAAGAGTTAATTTGTCATTACACACTGGTGAGCTCAAAAAAACAAAACGAAACCTTTTGAAAACGAACACAATAAATCACATCGCGTTAATCACACATTAAAGTTTTTAATGAAAATCGTTGGTCATGTGAGAAAAACTCCGGCTCAAACAATCCGTAGTCAAAAACTAGACCCAATATGACCACACACCTACTTGTTGCGCAAACAGGAAAATACGCGCCTCAAAATGCTAATATCTGTGTTAGGTTACGAATGAATCAAATGATTTTCTAGTCGTCACTCCTTGATGCTATACTCTAGGTATTTGTTAAAGCATGATTAATATAGTTTATAAATTCTACTATCAAGTCTCATTGTACAGTTTTTCAGTATTCACTTTAGCAAAAGTCTACGATCTAGTATATTTAGTGGCTTATTATTGTATCATGAAATCCTTTGCAGAAGTTGGCGTAGATAGTATGCACTGCCTAAGGTGACTCTGTCGATCTTTATCTATCTACTAGGATGACTGTCGAACAATAATGTTTCCTGGAAACCATGTTATAAACTGTTTAACAAGTTGTTGGTTCACAAGATATTCATGATGTATTCTTGCAGTATTTGTACGAACTAATGATTTTTTTGTAATGTTTTGCCCTCTGAATACAATGTAGATCACTAACCCAGGTGGTTGGAGTCACATCATTGGTGGCCTACCCGAGTTAGGCGGGAAATATGTTACGAACCAGCTAACTCACAGGTAATAATTCGCGGTCAGAACCCAACCTATCCTGGTACTATGGCTGGTTTGATGACTGAACAACACAAACGACATTATTACACAAATATATATGTATGAGCAGGTACAATAAAGGGATTGCCACCACCAACGCATGGGCCAGAACATAGAGTGAGTTTAATTGATGCTTGTTGGTTCTTCTTAAACTTAACGGGGATCGTAAAACTGTTTGACTTCAGCTGACACAACTGTCATATGATTTGACTAGATCCTAGTGATATTTCATTGTCTATACAAAAAATTGCAAATACAATACGGTCATTTGTGCTCAAAAAGTTCTACTAGTTATATATTGCACTAGTTCGAATACTTCTGATCGTCATAAAATTTTAATAGTTTTTCACAGTATTCCAAATGCAACATTAGTGATATTGATTGGAATTGCATCCATAATGTCCATAAATAATTCACTTTTTCTGGGTGATATCTTGGATATATTAAAGAGTGCTTCAGTACTATGGACCTAATCCAAAGATTTTGGAAGTTGCTTATCCGGTACTGTTCATTTCCTTCGTGAAACAAATACATGGTGTTTCCAGTACATTTTTCTGGATGGAAGTTCACGACCAGCCCATTCGGTGATACTGCTTGTTTCGTGAGAGAGCTCGTGGGAGAGAACGTCTAGAAGTAATGTGGCGTTGACTGTAACTCATCTTGACTATCCATTGAAACTTGGAGATACGACCCTGTAGGTATTTATACTGAGGATTCATGAGTGAGTTCTTGTTACTTAATTGAAGTACTTGAACAATCCCTAAGGGTGCAAATCAGCGATTTTGGTAGGCTAAGATTTCTCCTTTGTCCTAACGACCCGGATCGTGATGACAAATTTATTTCGTAATATCTTACAGAGCAGTATAAACACAACTGTGTCAAGCCGAATATCTCTGAACGTTGATAAATTAAAAACCCGCATTACTATGTTTGAAAAAATATTTTGACATACATCGTTCATAGTTGTCTTCAGATTGTTTCTCAATACTACTAACTAAAATTAGATTCACAGCCTAAATAGTTAGCGCAATCTTTCAGTAGTAGATATGTCCTCAGTGGAACCAAATCAAATATCTAAAGACGACTTGCATGAGGGGCTATCTGAATTCACTTTCTGTGCCATTTTGCAAAGTTTGTGTGCTTTCTGCGTTTTATATAACCTGAATCCGACGTAATGTGGTTTACTTTTAATGAAATTCAATGGAATTCAATAGATAGAGGTAGAATTATGTGTTTTCAGCTTTTCATCTCCAGATCCTAAACTGCCGTCTAGAACCCATGGAGTATATGTTAGTAAGATGTGTGGATATCGTCTTGCTAGACACGCACAAACAAGCCAAATTATTAAGAACATTGGATCGCACATTTAAGTAGAGCTAGTCATTGACTTTATTGTGCTCTTGAACTGGTTTCTCTATATTAGGCAGGAGAAGCTCGTGCGACCGTTGTTGCGTCGACGTTTGGTTTTACAGACGTATCACACAATTTCCGACTTTCGGTACTTCCTGTTTGTTATTCGCGCTATTGATATTTCCCTTTCAGAACTTCTGTTTATAGATTGCTAGTCACCAACTATACTTTTGGGTCTACTATGATTATTTTCTTTGCACCTGAGGCTTTATCGGTGCTGAAGCCTAATACGTTTTCACAACCTATCAGTTCCTTTGTCTCGTCTCTTGGTTGATAATAATCTGTCGGAAATTTCAGCTCTGTTAGGAGGTTCGAAAGCCACAAGCATTGGAAACGCCGTGAAGCACGATGTCTTGCAGAATCAACATGATTGTAACTACCAAAAAGATGAATATGCAGCTGAGCCAAGTCCAGTGTACAGTGCTGAGTTTCTTCTGCATTCCATCCTCGACCAGAAAGACACATGTGAGTTCACTACAATGTTTTTCCGAAACATTTATTCAAATAAGTAGACACTGACAAAAATACTGCAAAAAACGAGAAGTACTTGGCACTGGGACGTATTTGCACTCCCTGGCCCCCATCTTAGCAGACTGCACGCTTATTAAAAATTCCAAATGACGCACTCAGCTGTACTCGTTTAGTTCTGCCTACCTCGAATGGCACTATATCGAAATCTCTTACTTAGGAAATCAGTCTAAATTCTTCTAATCCTCGTATTTTCTCAAGGAAGTCAGAATATACTCTGATCACCAAATATTTCCATATCCTACTAACGAAAAAGTGCGATTATACAGCTTCACAAGTGAACAACTTGACCGAAGGTGCGTAACCCACTCGATGTTAACGTATACTCATAAAAGGTCTTCAGGTGGAAACTTATGTGAAAGTAGGTGACATTACTTTTATGGAAGTTTAACTGGAAATGTCGGATAAGAGATTGTTTTACATATTCGGGACGATCGAAACTATATATTTTACTCAAGGTGGATAATTGGGACTAGCATCTTAACCCTAACAATGAAAGTGAAGGTTGTGCAAACGACTTATACCCTTAATCTTAAGAAGTACCTTTTTAATTTCACTCTTTTGGCCAAAACGTAAGGTGCACTCATAGAGCTCCTTATTCCTACAAACTGCTTTCAGCGCACACAAACTAGACTCGGTGCATTTTCGTTAGAATACGAACGTTAAGATTCAAATTGATAATCATCTGATATCCTATATCAACAAACCTACTTACATAAGTCACAGAGAAAGAAAACAATTTTGAAATATAAAATCTCAGCTGAGTAATATTGAAAACATATTACAATAAACGAGTGACATAAAAAGTACGTAAATATAAATCATATTTTCAGTTGTACTATTTACAGCATTTACATGTTGATACACCAACATTAAATAACTAGGGTGTAGGTAATTTTGAAGAACTTCAATTCGTTTTCAGAATAATTAAAGTAGAATAAAGAACTTATATAATCCCTAAGTAAGTAAATATACAAAAAAAGATGTTTCATAAATCCGAAAGGATACTTTCACAATTGAAATTAGGAAAGAAGAATTTAATTTCTTTGAATGCATTTTCTTGTGAATCTGTTAATATAAAGAAGAAAGAAAAACATCAAATGAAGCCAAATCACCACAATAGATGTAAATGAACTTCTAAACAAATACCACCTCATTGATCTCTCATATTTTTAAATGATCTGAAACTGTTCAAATCTGTCTCTAGTTCGAAGTCATGAAACTTATAAATGTTGCAGAACAAATCAGTCAGTCAGTAATAACGTAGAACTTCGTACGCACATACATCAGTTCGAGTTCCCACACCACATTAGCACACAGATGCAGTTATTGACTCAAATTTCGTAGTGGTAGATGTGGTAAGAGTATAAGCAGTAATTGGAAAGATTAGGGTTTGAAGATGTTATTCAAGGAGTATAATCCAGTGAAGTAAATTTGGAAAGAGGAAAAAAGGGACATGAAGAATTCAGAAGATTAGAATTTGGGAGAACACAAAGAGTGGATGCACCTGCGCCATTGCAAACGATTTTGAGCCATGTCATTCAGGGCCTCTAACCATCGGTTGCTATTATCTCGCGGATCCCAACCAGGTAGTCTACACCTACCAACATGGCTCAGTCCGCTTGTCAGTGACTTCATGGACTTGCAGAACAACTGACTTAATCTCTCTTAGCACCAATTTTCCGAGTAAATATTTTTAGTCCATTAAAGAAGAGATCAGTGTAAGTGATGTATGATAGTGAAAGTAAAATATGCTTGACCGTTGAGCCTGGACAAACTGTCATAGCCTACGAAGTATTAAATATGTAGTATTACATTTTATTATTGATTTCCACTTTGGACTCACTGTGTGTGATTGCTTGTAGTTGTATTGAATATACTATTTTCTAATGCTATTCTGATTCTCTATTTTAAGTCTCAAATGCCTGGTTCTAATATAACGTGATTAGTCTTATTAAAGTATTAATGTATCATCGTAATATACGTCTAAGAGAGAGAGGATAGATATTGTAGGCCATACGTTATAGCAAAGGTAACTTGTTAGACGACATACAGTTCCAGTAAAAAAACCCAACAAAGAATAGCATTTTGTATACTATGTAGCCAGCTGGGAAAAGCCCTAACAATATTTCAACCCATTTGGAGTATAATAGTCCTTTGAAAAAGTCGAAGTTATATTTCTGAAATATGGTATATAATTTTCTTGGTTGGGACATCAATTAGTCATGCGTTTTCACAAAGAATAAGCGTCTACATTCAGTCAATTAAAATGATGACAAGTAAAATCGATCAATAATTACAACAAGTACTTCAATATCCATAAGTTTAATGGTATATGTCAACAATTTGAAGGATAAGAGTAGAGAATTGAAACGACAAAACACTGCATTTTGGAAAAGCTAAATCGAACGTAATGACGACAGTCCAAACAAACGTAATAATTCGTTCAGTACTAACGATTCATCAGACATGCGTGTGTTAGGGTAAATATATCGTACCAACAAGAGATTAGTCATGACCCAGGTAATCCAGTCATAATTTTCTTAACCATAAGATTGGGTAACGCAATACCTAAATGACAGTAGGAGCACCATTTATTTTGAGACTGCAAATTTGTCCTAGGGATAAGTGGCAACTACTTCGAAATATAAGTCCACTGTTAGCAACTGACTTCCTCCATCTAAACAATTATTGTGCAGTAGCAAAGTGCATATACACAGAGAGAATCACTGGGTCCGAGTCGTGGAGTGAACATCAATTCTGGGATGCAAGTACATTCGACTGACTGGTCGCAAATAGGACGAAGTGGAGCGCGTCTTCGATTCCACTGGTAGCCACCATCCATCTCTGCATATAATGATCAGTATGTTGCCAGAAATCCTGTTACCGAAATCAAATTGCGAAGAATTAACTATTTACCTAGAATACAAATATTTCGAGCTACCTATGTTCGACATGACTCAACCCCTTGTATTTCTCGATAGTCACAGAATATACATGACAGCATCATAACTAGTTATTACTTTAAGCCTTTGCATCGTGATTTTGTGGTCTAGAAAAGGTTGAAAGTTGAAGGTATAGAATCATTGATCCTGGTTAGTCGAGAGAAAGAATGTAGAATAGAACTAATACAAACAACAGTGAAAATAACAAAACAAAGTTTTGATAAGTATAAGCTTGAAAAAAGCTTTAAATCAAGTTATATTGTTTAAATAATACTATCATAATTTATATCAACGTCTTACCTGATCCATGAAAACCATTTCTTGTATCTGTCAATCCAAAACGACCACGTAAACTATTTGGTTCAAATACAACTGTCCTAAATATTGATAAAATAAGAACTAAAGACACATAAAATGGACTCCATTCGGAGTTATAAAAAGATGTTTGTCATGATTTTGAGATAACGACAAAAATCGGGAAAAAGAACTGCCGAAACATTGATGACCCTTGGTGGTCCTACTGAAATACTTGGTCTTAAATCTAGTCACTTCATCGAGTGAGGTAGAAACCAAATTTGTTGGACCAAGAGCGGTACACGTTGGTTGACATCTACCAACAATACAAAAAATAGTAAATATGCTATGAAATCACCACTTACCAAACAATATCGAGATGCTTTACATATGCTTAGAAAAGATTACACTCTGATCATAGGCAACCCGGACAAAGGAGGAAGGCTAGTTTTAATGAATAAAGTTGATAACATCGAAAAAATGTACTCAATTTTGAATGATCCGACTAAATTTAAATGACTCAACGACCTTAAGGATATAAATATGGAAGCAGAAAAACTACCGACTAATGCGCTTAAGGAATTAGAAAAGTAAAGAAATACTTATTCCAACCATTTACGATTCACTTAAACTCATTATATCAAACACACAGCGACTCTACGGTTTACACGAAGTCCAGAAGACAGGACTTCTGTTCATCCACTTTTGTATATGTATAATTCGTAATACCATAAAACTACAAAGTGGTCAGTCTGAATCCTAGGTCCGTTAAACAAACTAGTCGTCAACAGAAGCGTTAAAAACGTTCTCTATTTCATTTCCAAGGTGTGACATTCGAACTTAGTGGAAAACGGATGATATCTCTAGATGTTGCTTCCTTGTTCATCAATGTACCATTAACTGAGACAATTAACTTTGTGTGTCAACAACAACTTGAAAAAACAGATAATTATTGGAATTCTCAAGGTTAGTCTCGAAGAATTACTTCTAAAATGTAAAATGAACGTCTATCTTGTCTTTAAAAACACATATTATAGACAAATTGTTGGAATAGTGATGGATACACATTTAGGTCCTATCCTTGCTGGTTTTCTCTTGCGAAACTAGAAAACGGACCTCTCAAAGAAGTTATAGACAACTTTGACTTCTATTGTCATTACATTGATGATACTTTCATTATCGTCGACCAGAACATTGGAAAAGAAGAACTCTCAAAGCTATTTAACAATAAACATTCAGCAGTCAAATTTACGTGTGAAGAGGAACTTGATAATCAACTACATTTCCTTGACGTTTTGACAAACAGAAAATTGGTTCTATCAGTAGAAGTGTGTATAGGAAAAGTTCTTCATTTCTTAAGCTTTACACCCATTCATTGTAAGAGAAACCTAATTAGATGTCTCGCAAATAGAATTAGGAAGACATGCTCAGTTGATACTATAAACAAGGAACTAGAGCTTATTCATAATATGTTGATTGGAATAGGTTATCCACAAGGTTTCCTGGAGAAACACTTGCATACAACAAACAAGAAAGTAGAGACGTCAAATGCTAGTAAGAAACCTTTCTTCCTGAAGCTGCAATTCAACGGAGATATAACAGGTGATGTATTAAGGGATAGACTAACTAGAGCAGTTAAGAGGACGTTTAATGCAGCTAACCTCTATCTATAGTACTTGACCCGATCTATAGTAATTCCTCAATGAAAAGACAAGTTACCTGCTCCTGCCGCATCTATATACACCTACAAATTCAGCTTCTCCTATGGAGAAAGCCATATTGGAAGCACTACCAGACAACTGAGCCAACGAGTTAGTTAGTAGATCTCTTTTTGGCTAGGAAATGGACCATCAAAACAATACACAGCTCTGTTCTATCAAATTTGATCGATAGTGGTCAAGTAATAGATAGAAATAGGTCATTCAAAGTTATTTATCGTATTACTACTAGTTTTCATTATGAGGTTCAATCTCGTCTCTTATACATAACAGAACCTAAAGAAATTTAAGCTAATAATCCAAGTCTTTGTATTCATAAGAAACTTTATAACATTTTTATCACTTCCTTGACCGAATTAGCCCTTATAGTCAATATTATTTATAGTTATTTTTTATACTGTTTGTTCGTTTAATTTTCTTCATCCCCTCCTATCCTTTTTTCCCCCAAAATAGATGCATCACTGTCTAATTATCTGAACACTTTTTATTACATAATTTCATAGTTTTTATGTATGTTATTTCAATATCTACATTTTTCAAGTCATTGGTCTATTAAATTAACTTGGTGTTGTTTTACTTATATCTTCCCATTGTTATTTAGGACTGAAATTGATCAGTATCTTATTGGCATATGTTCATCCTGTGCGGATTGCCTCGATATATGCCAACATGAGACTGGTCAATTACAGTCCTAAATAACAATGGGAAGATACAAGTAAAACAACACCTAGTGAATTTAAACTTTACCACATTGCACAAGCAGGTGGCTATCAGGAATTAGTAACTAAGGGGATAACGCGATAGCGTCTGAAGTGAACGGTACCAGGTTCAAGTCGCAGAGTGAACATCAACTCTAGGTACATCCAGCTGACAAGTCCCGAATAGGACGAAATGCACGTCCTGGATTCTACTGCTAGCCACTAGCCATCATTGGTTTATTTCCTATTATGAAACATGGGTTAGAGTTTTTGTTATTCTTATCACAACTAGTACACTCGACATCCTACTATTAATTTGTACTTTTTACTTATTATGTTTATTTATATAATCTATTCCACTATTATTAACTTCGCCTGTAGCTCTTCTAGAGTTACCGCCGGTCCCAAGCCAGGGTAAAGGAGGAGGGTTGGGCATGGGGTTAGCAACTCCATCCCGTAGAAAACTAACTCGCTAAAAAAACACTAACCAAAGTTCTACTATTATTATCATTGAATCATAAACTGCCTTGATTAATTTAATAAGTTCGTACATGCACTGCTTGAAATAATCACTAACTAAGAAAATGGCACGAATAATTTACACATTTTATGAAGAAATTAAGGAGTTAATGGTTTTTTTAATTTCAGGATCATGGATACGCACAGCTGAGGAGTCACACAACAGGACGGAACGGCCGTCCAGTGCTTCGAGTTTTTCCATAGTGGTCTAGCTTTAATGGACTCATAATCTCAATGATTGAAATTACTATAATATTCACGAAAACTCTTTTGATATTAGATATTAACTGATTTCCGTTAGAACAAGGTGAACATATGTTTTGAATTAAAATGACAGTATGTCTACGCTAAGCGATTACGTAATAGTAGTAATGCATTTTGTGTTCCTCTAGACCATAGTGCTAAATGAATTTGACTGATGCAATTGAAATATATCTTCCAAGTCTGTTTGATATTTGGTAATTGAAGGTAATCAGAAAAGAACTAGTATGCTAATGAAAACACTGGCTTATAGATGAGTTACTAAATACCATAGAATCTGAATCTGAAACTTACTACCAATCGGTTTGAACAAGAGACAGAGTATCAGTTGGTTGATTAATTTCTAAATATGATCATTAATTTACACCCTTATCATTAAACATATTCATTAAAAAATTATCAACGATGGTTAATAGATCTGTAAATTAAACATTTTATGCAACTGTCTTGTCATGACAGAGTCTCCATATTCATATTCTTTTATTAAACCTCATGTTATAGATTGATCTTAGACAACCATTGAAAATCACTGAGCACTGGATTACGATCTCGAACCAAGATCTTAATATATAACCTGTTGAAGCACCGTACAATAGTTTACATTTCCAACTTGAACTTTTGATAGAATGCAATCATTTTCCAATGCTAATAGTAAATAACTGGCTTGTATCCGACACATTACAACTTCTATAGTCACGGCTTCTAATTAGACTTCTGAGACTAATGTCTTAGAATAAGTCACCGATGAGCACATTATTATTATTATTATTATTAACGTAAGGGTTTGTAGATATTGTGGATTAATGGTACGGCCGAGAGTGGGGAGAGTCCTCTCTCCCCCTCGAAATGCTCTCACATGGCCACGCGTGTACAGTCTCTGCCAGGGAAGTCCTACTAACTGCCTTCTCGTGGCAGGGGTGTTGTTTACGAAATTGAGAGGACGAAAAGCGAATGTCCGGCCCTTTAACCGGACTCCAAACCAATGGTGCACATGGGCTCCAGTATCCTGCGGGAACAAATGGCGTATGAACCAGTTGTTGGTCACCGGCTACCATGCGACTGCATCTCCTTACGATGCTCCACTGCCTTTTGGATCAGACCTTCAGGTCGAAGGCACGGGGAGTAGCCTCCTAAGAGAACCACCTGCTTCGGTTCAGGCACCCGAGCAGTATCACAGCGTTCACACATATCGAGTGAGATTTGTGTGGCGCATACCTATTTGGTGCCTCTTTGTACCAATATCTATGTGTTGAAATAATAAGGATTAATGGAATGGTAGCTAGGTGATTAAATCTTTCTACCCTCAATCATCAAGTCGGACACTATGAAATTCCCTCACCTACATCAGTTGAACCAGCCTTAACATTCAAAAAGGGGTGGCTAAAAACCGATGAAGTGGAAGTTACGAGTGGGAAAAAAACACATCTACTATTTAATGTAAGGAGCTAAGTAGTGCAACCGTAAAAACTTTATACGGATATATGTCAACAATTAAATCATTCCATTTAAGAAAAGTATCAAGCATATTTAAAAACACCAAGTTTACCGGTAAACTTTAGTGGGACCGAGCAATGAACGCCAAACAGATATTGCATTATTACCGGCAAGAATATACACTCCAAGTGGTCCACTATAATATGGGAACAACATAAATGTGAATGTAGTCAGTCGAATAGTTGGTTACCGGTTTTACAAAGCATCACAACAACCAATTTACCCGGTAACTACTAGACTAAACGAGAAAAAACAATTCAATAGTGATGTCAGTTTGGAGACGAATATTTATGAATAATGGAAAGTTAGGCTTGGTGAAAGCCCTGAAATAATGTGTAGTATTCTGAATGCCCAGCGCAATAATACAAACATGTTAGGAATTTATTTCTCTTTTCCTCTCTCTTTCTAAGTGTAAAATGTTGCCTCCGCCAATCCTGAACAAATGTTGAGCATATCGCGCAACAGTCAGCTCATTATCACTCTATGGCTGTCAAACGTGACCCATGAGAATAGAAGGCATATATATTGGTTAGAAGGTTTTGACCACAGGTATCTACAATGCATTCCTAGCATATCGTGGAACTAAATAGTGTGTCGTTCAGGTTAGACAAAATGAGAAATCAACTGATATAGTTGTGAAACTTTTTCAAATGTGATTGCGAGGTGTATTACCTAAACACAAACAGGAATAGACAGAAAAAAAACTACAGATAACCAAATCAAAACATGGCGGCGTCAGTCCATAAATTAACTGACTCCTAGACAGAACCATATTGTAAGATTCATACTATTTCATAGGAGTTCGCAAGGTAAGCGAAAACAACGGTTGGAGATATCTGGTAACATAGATTGGGAATGGTTACACTAGTGAAGATGTATCCTTATTTTATTTTCCTTTACGCAGTAAGCTTGATTAGTATTTCGTAATTTCTTATTCGATCGAATCTATCACGTCATTTCAAATCATATATCAGCATCTTTATTCTTTCTAACTATAATTGACTATGCCATTATTTCAACTCGTTATTCATTTCGTCATCCTAATGTGGTAATGGCAACATGAGCTAATACATAATTGTCTCAAACTATCAATTGATCAGAATTAATCGAATGTCCCACAAAAACCCTGGTACGGACGAGTGTGGAGAGAGTCCGTTCTCCTTTACCATATGCTCTCATATAGCCACGCGTATACAGCAACTTTCAGGGAAGTCCTACTCACTGCCTTCTCGTGGCGGGGATGTTTTTCACCAAACTGAGAGAACGAAAAGCGAATTCCGGCGCATTAACACAGTTGGTGGATATTGAAGATTCACCTAGAAAAGTTCGAAAAGCCTGATTACGAACCAATGGTGAACATGGGCTCCAGGATCCTGAGGGAACAAATGGTGTATAAACCAATCGTTAGTCACCGGCTACCATGAAACTGTATCTTCTGACGTTGCCCCACTGCATTGTGGATCAGACTTTTAGATTGAAGGCTTCGAGTGTGGTCCCCTAAGAAAACCACATGCCTCGGTTTGGGCACCCGGACAATATCATAGCCCATACACAAATCAAATGACTTGTTTGGCGAATATGTATTCAGTGATCCTTTTTACCAATATTTAGGTTCTCAAACAAATAAATAATCAAGATTAGTCGAATGATCAACAATATACAGCAAAGATGTTTGGTATTCAACAAAATGAGATCAAAGATAGTTGAATAATTGAGAAATAGATAAAAAATGTTTTGAGAAAATCAATCATTTGATACAGCAAATTACTATTTTCAATTATAGTGAGAATCGTTATTAAAAGTAAAATTTAAAGGGCTTCTGTTTAGGCAATCGAGTAGTATACCAGCCTTCACAAACAAATCGAATGACGAAATGTGAAGCATATATATTTAGTGCCTCCTTGTTGGACATTAACATCATTGAATGTCAACTCAGTGGTCTACAGGTTAAGCTTTCACGAGCAAGACCGATAGGTCCAAGGTTCAAATCCTACGAATGGGATCGTGGCTAGGCACTGCTGAGGAGTCCCATACTAAGACGAAATGGCAGTTCAGTACTTTTAGGTTTTCCATGGTACTCTAGCTTTAATTGACTCATAAATTCAACTATTAAATAAATAATAATAAAATTGAACTTACCAAATCATATGATTAACAAGTCGATCATAGAAAAATTTACCTAAAGTGAAAATTTATTATAAAAAGAGAACAACATCAGTTTAATGATATTTAAGTCATAGTAAATCTTATGATTAAGGAGGAAGAATGTTTGAGAACGACCCATGGGTGAACTCAAGGAAGCTCTGAAAGAGCCGAAGATATTCCATCCAATCATCTTATAGAAGAACATTATAGAATCTTCATGTGTAGCTTCCCTAGTGAACGAGTGCTAAAAACCACTGGATGAGGATTGGATAATTATAATGTTGATTTCATTTTTAATAAAAACTATAAATACCTATGAGTTTTGTACCATATTTGAAACTGTTCGAAATAACATTCCTCGTCAGTCGTCTCCTGTCATCTTATTTCAGACTTAGAGGGTTCTAGTTTTCGAGTGTTCAAGTTATATGCGGTATATCAAGAACCTAAGATCTAGATATAACCGAATACATTTGTAAAATCTCAGCGAATGAATTTGAAGTGAATTCAACGTTTCGTTGGGCAATCTGGTCCAAGAAAATAAGATCGAACATTGAACATCTGATTTTCAATGTTTGATTATATTTCCTCGAAAAAACCTTGAACCAGATTGCCAAGTGAAATGTTAGGTTCACCTGTAAGTTCATTAGCTGAGATTTTACAAATACATTCTTCCTCCTTAATGTCTCACATCAAATTGGCGTTCAAATACTGTGAAATTACTCAATCGAATTTAGACGAAAGTTCTTATAAATCTTATGATTACTTTTTATCGCTGAAAATCTTCAATTATTCGATATTATGGGTAGACATCAATTGACCACATTGTATCTTTGTATAACATTTAGCCACCGAAGACAATGAAAGATGGTTGCACAATGTGAGGACTAACGATACAATTAATGAGTAGAGCAAAACAGAATTAGATGGGAGCAAGATTTGAACATATGATTGCGATATTTAAAATTCTTTTGTCAGTAAACCATCGTTCTATCCACATAGTTAATTGATTCTCAGTCAGTCAGTCAGTAAAAACTTAGAACTTCGTACGTACGTACATCAGTTCGAGTTGCCACACCACATTAGCACAGAGATGCATTTGTCGCTTCTAGTGGAAATGATGCTGAAGACATTAAAGTAAATGAAAATATATTATTGTTGGTAATGATAATAAATGCTCCTACTTACCTTTGTGTTCAGCGTAAAATACTTGAGCACGATCGCGCGTCATAAAAATCTCTTCATTATGAATAATTTGTAATTGTGCATCGGACATCACAGATTCGATATACTAACGTTTGATTAAATTACATGAAATTTTTAAAAGTATGGATTTAATTAATTTTATGAAATGATTAATCGAGAAATAATTGACTTGACAATGATACTTATCAGTAAGCTGATAGGCATAAGATACTACTCTCCGTCACGCGATACCACCTTTAAATGCCCCGGTACGGCCGAGAGTGGGGAGTCCGCTCTCCTCGAAATGATCACACATGGCCACGCGTATATAGCCATTGTCAGGGAAGTCCTACTCATTGCCTTCTCGCGGCATTACCGTTGTTTACGAAACTGAGGGGATGAAAAGCGAATGTCGGGCGGTTTAACAGGGTTGGTGGACATGAATAGTCCACCTAGGGAAGTTGGAAAACCACAATTTCAAACCAATGGTGAACATGGGCTTCAGGTTCCTAAGGAAAGAAATGGTGTATGAACCAACTTTTGGTCACCGGCTGCCATGGGATTGCATCTCCTTACGTTGCTCCACTGCCTTGTGGATCACGCCTATAGGTGAAACGTTCGTGGAGTGACCCTTAAGAAGACCACCTGATTCGGCCTGGACGCCCGGGTAGTATATCAGCCCTCACACAAATCAAATGTGGCGCTTATGTATTTGCTGCCTGTTTGTACCAATGTTTATACGTTTAAATAATTATATTAAACATGCAATACCACTTCGAGTCAGAAATTTGATCAAACGAAATTTAAAAAAAACCAGAAGCAAAAAAGCTGTACAATCTTCCATAATACATTAACTTGACAGAATATCTTCGAAGCTACAAACCACCTTCATTTGGTATTAGTCTATTAACTGATGAAACTACAATGTACTATAAGGTTGTAGTTGTTCTCTTACCAACTGTAATTCAGGACGTTAAACAGGAACTTCATACATCCTACCTATCAACTTGAGGTCCTTCAAAGTTTATTGGTTATTTTATTTAATAAAATAATTACCAATATTTCCAAACTATTACTGAAGAATATATAAAGTTATATACAATTAAGAGGTATTTTGCAAATATATCAAGGCTTCACGTTATTAAACAATCACATAGATTCTCTACTTCAAGCTTTGATTTATATTGTTACATCGACTGAAATCTCTAACTGGACAGTTCATCCTGCTGTTGGACTAATCAAACTAATCCATTTAATGATCTGAACACATAAATATTGGTACAAAGAGTCACTGAATACATATGCGCCTCACAAGTGATCTGATTTTTGAGTGAGCTATGATACTGTCCGGGTGCCCAAACCGAAGCAGCTGGTTTTCTTAGGGGACAACACCCGGAGCATTCAACCTAAAGGTCTGATCCACAAGACAGTGGGACCAAGTTAGAAGATACAGTCGCATGGTAACCAGTGACTAACGATTGGTTTATACACCATTTGTTCCCTCAGGATCCTGGAGTCCATGTTCACCATTGATTTGGAATTGTGGTTTTCCACCTTCCGCAGGTGGATTCCCCATATCCATTTAACTATACACCTACTGTGGTGCGTGCTACTTATATTGATGTAAGTAGTATATGACGCGAGTTAAAAAGTAATGTCTAGCAGCAGAAGATGGGAGATCAAGAAAGGAAGAGCGCGAACACTATGCAATTTGTATGTAAACGCATGAACCATGGAATGGGAGACAATAGATTGATGTTTGCAACAGGAACAGTCCAGTTTGATATGATGGATTGATATTTTGCAAGTTGATGATTTCGTATATGGTATTCAGATTTTATTGAGATAGTCTGTAATTTTTGTGCTAAATACATTCGATTGTCCTCACCCGTGTTCTGTTCATTACACTACCACTATTGTAATATTAGGCTATCTAAAGTGTGCATAAATAGATGCATTAATTCTAGGTAGTAATTTCTCATAATCAAACGACAAATATTATTTTCCGATTTTCCTACATCTCAGCAAAGGATGAATTACTAAGGATGAACTGTTTTTCAATTTCTACAGTTGGATCCGATTCTATCTCTAGCAACGTAAAGATGATGTAATCATTAAAATATCTTAGATTTTTATGACAATAAATGATTTTAAAAGTTGAATTCATGAGTCGATGTAAGCTAGATCACCATAGAGAACCTGGAATTATTGGATTTAAATAGAGCAAAAACAAACATTGATACAGAATAGTATGAATTCATATTATTTCGAGGTTCCTCGTCAGCTGCTTACAAACCAAAATTGTGATAGAATTTTTTTACATGGAGGTAGTGTGAAACAATTGACATAAATGAGTGTAAATAACTGTAATCCAGTTCATATAGGAAACCAATTGCATGAAATTATTGGTTTGCCGTTTCATCCTAGTATGGCACTCCTCAATAGTACGCGTCCGCGATCTTGCACGCAAGACTGACTATTAAAATTACTACAATCTCCACAAAAACAAATAAAATTACACTTTCTGTAAATAAGGATATAAGTGTTGTATACATGATGGATTAACACTCAGAATGAAATAAAACAATTCCGCCTGTAACTCTTCTAGGGCTATTACCGGTCTCAATTCCGTATAATGTAAGAGGGTTAAGGGTATGGGGTCGGCAACCTCATCCCATTAAAAAATAACCTTGCTCAAAAAGAAAAAAATCTATAAATTAACTTACTTTACGATAATTTATAAAACGTTGAACATCTGGTTTCAATATTGCCAATGTTAATTGTTTCATTGACATATTGAACACTATGATCTAAAGATCTTTACAAAAAAAATAACCCGCAAAGTAAAATTATTACCATCATCATTCTAATTGAAGAATCGTATTGAAATGGATCTGAGATACTAATTGACACATTGAAATGGGATACGATTAGCTTGAAAGAACTCAGTAAAATCATATTGTGTAAATTATTATTTATCAGAAGGGGTTTTTGTAGAGATTATAGTAATTTTAATAGGTGAGATCATGAGTCGATTGAAGCTAAACCATCATGGAAAACCTCGAAGCATTGAGACTCCTCAGCAATGCGCATCAACGACCCCGACTCGCGAGATTCGAGGCCAGGACCTATTAGTCTCGCGTGCCAGTAGCTTAGCCAACTAGACCATTGAGTTGGCCGGCATCCAATGGTCTTAATGTCTAACTTCAACTAATCCATGAAATTAAGTGACACATCTATCATTGTCATCGATGAGTTACTATCTCACAACAGACCCGGATAAACTCCACTAGTCACCGCTTCTCACTTGAACTCCAGGATATACCTCTTGAAGCCAGTCCCTTGTGAGTATAGGCTGATTGATATCAGAAGGGATTTTTGTGAATATTCTAGTAATTTTAATAATTGAGATCATGAGTCAATTATTATTAGCTTTATTCAACATTATATTTTAAGTACAATATAGAATTCTCGACACAAAGTATTTCAACAAGTTTCCTTTTCTTATTTCTTGATCTATCCTTGCGATAAATATCGAGTAGTCGCCAGTTAGATGTAAGCAGTTCATGAATCCACATCTGATTAATTTATATTCTTTTCCATGTATATTGCCAGCAGCCACAATGTCTGTGATTGGGCTCTTTCGTAACTTCTATAGTGAAAGGTTGTGAACTTTTCATAAATACATTTGAATAGATTATATAATTAATTGATATAATGATCTGTTGAAACAAACAAGGAAACAGATCCTTTATTGAAATATCTACATAGCAGGAACAAGTAGACCAGACATTCAAGCAGGTTACCTAGTTGATTGACAAAATATTTTTTGTCAATCGATCACTCTGTATATTCAAAAGATTCCAACAGCTGATCAATTAACCAAAAATAACCCGAAATCCAAACAGATTTCTCTACTGATAATGTTGACTAGAAAGACGATAAAAGCGAAGGTTAAACAAACTAGCTCCATTAAAATCTTCCTTATGAGGTATGAATCTTACACTAACACTATGTATTAATACGTATTCACATCAACTTCACAATCATATTCAAACCTTACGTAAGAAGCAGTTGATAAAAACTTGTATTATCAGATTAGTTTGATTGCATCGTTATTTCTATTCTTTTCAAATGAATAAACAAAACGATTTGGGTACAAACAACCAAAAAATCACTAAGCAGATGTTGATTTCTAGAAAATAACTCTGCAACAATTTCAACGACTTGTTTTAAAATGAATCCATATAGTTCCAATTAGGAGTACATTTCAGAAAGTGGACCGTTACCAACTGATGGAATAAAGTGATTATCGAGTCACATTATAAATTGACTAAAGTTCTAGATTAGTCTAAAGGTAATGTACCTGCTGCAACATTTAAAGATTACCTGTTTGATTCTTGATGATATCACAGATATATCCTGCAGAAACACTCACTTCAAATAGATTAAGACGAAACAACTGTCCAATGATTTCTGAACACTATCAATACTTCTTCAACTGTTATCAGCAAATGATACAAACAATCAACATAAGTAGAAATAATTCGAAATTATTATTGATCAACAAACACAAAAGAATTCATTTACATTTCACTCTCAATGACTTATATTTCAAGAAGGAATACAAAAGAAGAAAAACAAACAAATGATCACATTAAATGATTTATTAAAGATAACTTATCACACGTTATCATTCAATGAAACAATCACCACACGTACATGTAAACATACAGGAATGATTTATGATTATTTCAAAAATGATAACAATTTGAAGTTAGTATACACTATACCATAAATGAACACAGTAGGTAATAATGCAATTAATTAATCAACCAATCAAATTATAAATAAAATAAAAAACGACAAAATCAACACCCCTTGGCACAACCGAGGGTCGGCGGGGAAGTAATTTCTCCCTCTCCAAATGCTCTCACATGGACATGAGCATACAGCCACTGTCAAGGGAGGCCTACCCACTGACTTCTCGCAACGCCGGTGTTGTTTACCAAATTGACACAACAAAAAGCGGATGTCCGGCCCCTTAACACGGTTAGTGGACACAGAAGGCTCATCTAGGGGAGTTGGAAAACCACAATTTCAAACCAATGGTGAACATGGGCTTCAGGTTCCTAAGGAAAGAAATGGTTTATGAACCAATCGTTGGTTACCGGCTATCAAGGGACTGCATCTCCTTGCATTGCTCCACTGCCTTGTGGATTAGACACTTAGGTCAAAAACTCGGGGAGTGACCTCCTAAGAAAACCACCTGCTTCGGTTTGGGCACCCGGGCAGTATCATAGGCCACACACTGATCAAGTGACGTGTGAGGTGCATATGTATTCAGTGACCCTTTGTACCAATATTTATACGGCGAAATAAATAAATAAATAATACTAACTACTACTACTACTACTACTACTACTACTACCACCAACACAGTGTATGTGTATACCACAAATATTGAGATATTTTTTAAAGCAAATGCAAATAACAAGTAAATGTCTATTTGAATACAATGATTGTAATTGAAACAAACCGTCTATGATGGAAGTAATACAGTTTTTTTACATACTAGAAAATAACAGCCCCTTACATAAGACTGAATTAACGAAAACCAAATTATCGTAGGACTGTAATTTCAATTATCGAGTGTTTTGTTCGAATGCTTATTACTACATTCCATATGATATTGAAAGTGATTAGTTTCAACACTGTGATTATTGAACAGTTTTTTTTATATTCAATAAGTCACAGTCAACGTAAGATCTGAAATGAATGTGTATTGGTTGAAATTGGTACACTTCAAATCGGCACAGAAAACACGGAAGTTAGCAAAATGAGAAGCAAGAAAGAGGAATTAATTTTAACACCAGAAATTTAAACATAAGAAATACATATTTCAGGAGAATTACGTAGTAATTAACAATGGAATATAAGACGACGGTTTCGTCCTATTTAGGACTTGTCAGTTGGATGTATATGTACCCTAATGCTGATACTCAGGGTCTTGAACTCAATGCCTTCCATTTCCACATGATTAATAAGTTATCCACTTGGCCAGTGAATCCATACAGTTACTGACTTGTGCAACAAGAAAGAATCTTATTCGATTTGTAAGTGTTTGAATCTTCCCGTTTATAAGGACTGAAATTAATTAGTCTCTCTTGGCGTATGTGCATGCTAAATGGATCAGATCGATATTGACATCAAATCGAAACCATAAGAAACATGGTTCAAAAAAAGAACAAATAAGACTAATGAACGAAAAATTTAACTGGAAGATTGAAAGAAAACATATAAAATCCAAATGAGATTTTGTGCCATAACATTCAATGTTTCTAACGAAAGATAACGGCTAATTTAAGGAACTCAACAATGAATTTTATAAACTTCTGATAGTACAAACTAACAATCAATAACTTTATGTATTGATTGATACAGTAGTAATTTAATAATTGAATTCATGAGTCAATAGATGCTAGACCATCATAGAAAACCTCGAAGCATTGGACGACCGTTTCATCCCAGTAAGGAATTCCTCAGCAATGCGTATCCACAATCCCGCCACGCGAGATTCGAATCCACAACCTAGCAGTCTCGCATGCGAACGCTTAACCTCTAGACCATTAAATTGACATCTAATAGTGTTTCTGTCTAATTTCAATCAATACACAATACAGTAGAGTATTGATCATTCAAAGATAATTTCTATCATAATACAGGCATTATTTTTGTGATAACCACATACACATACGCCCCCTGAATGCCCTGGTACGGCCGAGAGTGGGGAGAGTCCGCTCTCCCTCTCGAAATACTCTCACACGGCCACGCGTATATAGCCTCTGCCAGGGAAGTCCTACTCATTGCCTTCTCGTGGCGGGGGTGTTGTTTACGAAAATGAGAGGACGAGAAGCGAATGTCCGGCGCTTTAACCGGATTCCAAACCAATGGTGCACATGGGCTCCAGTATCCTGCGGGAACGAATGGCGTATGAACCAATCGTTGGTCACCGGCTACCATGGGACTGCATCTCCTTACGATGCTCCACTGCCTTGTGGGTTAGACCTTTAGGTCAAAGGCTCGGGGAGTGGCCCCCTAAGATAACCACCTGCTTCGGTTTGGGCACCCGGGCAGTATCACAGCCCACACACAAATGATGAACTGTTTATGTCTATGGAAACTACTTTTGTCGCTTTGAAAAACAATCAATTGATTCAAATTATGATCACTTCAATTATTGTCATTATTAATACTAATATTATTATTACTACTATTATTGTCATTATTGTTATTATTATCATTATTATTATTATTTTCCACATTATTCACCTTCTTTTATACTTATACAGCGGCTCGTCTTTGGTGGAATTCCGACTGTATCTAAACGTTCTCGAGTCACTGTCCGGTTGAAAATTGTATGTTACCACCGAATACGAGGACTGAAGCAGATTTTCTGAAACCACGTGCATCATTCAAACTGGCTGCCTTCAACGTTCGCACATTTATGCAGGTCGGACAACAGATAGGGCTGGCTATGTCTTTGGAAAGTCTTAATATCGACGTGTGTTGTCTATCCGAGACCCGTATTCAAGACTCTGGCGAAGTACTACAAATTCGATCTCCATCTGTCGCTTCGAAAAGCTTGTTTTACGTGCGCTTATCCGGGGACCCTGTGGCATCTTCGTCTGGTTTTGCTGGCGTTGGTGTCGCACTAAGCGCTAGAGCTGAGGCAGCACTAATTGATTGGATCCCCATTAACAGTCGGTTATGTGCTGTTAGATTAGAAAGTTCCATCAAAGTGAGAAGAAATCGGCGT